TTTGTGACCTAAATAAATGTGCAAATCTCACTTATCAATTGTCTGATATACAACATAATTGGACATCAAAGACTCTCATTTACATTCTTTTAATCTATGGTTTGTTGTCGTTAGTGCATAAATGCCAACAAACATCTACTCTGATTCTACTGTATCTTAAAGGTTTGTATGAATCACACGTGCACAAATTTGTAAGGGACAAATAAAGTCTTAAGGATGCCTTAGAATCTACTGTGGATTTCACGCAATTGTAAAGGAATCCCTTCTCCAACATTATGACTTAGAGTGATGTACTAAGAGTCTAAGCATATTTAGATGATGTGCTTCAACTCTCAAATCATAAGTTCAACTCTTGTTGTAACCCATTTACGAAAATTGTCCTTCTCTTGATGCATCTTGAAAGAAAAGAATAGACTTCTTGGGTAATAACGTACTTTTTAAGCCAAATCGTCATTTTCACCATAAAAGTCAGCAAAAGATGAAGTAAACAATTTAATTGGTTAGATTATAAGGTCCATTTAAATCTTAACATGCCAAATTTCAATCCTTCGACTAAGCAAAAATACATAAATGAAGAAATGATTGTTCGTATATCAAAGTGGAAAATAGGATTTTACATTTGAATGCGTATTTTCTAAAAAGCATCACTAGGAATTAACTGTGCCAACTCTTAAAATTGAGACTCTGTAACATCGTTAAAATCTTGTGGAACCCCATTCTCATCATCAAATCCATGCACTCCATTTTCTGTTTCATCCTGGTCACTTGTCACGTTTTTTCCTTCCACTTCTAGAGCAAATTCGTGTTCGTCCTTCTCCTTCTTCTCCTTCATTTCTGTACCACTTATGCCCCGACCATTTTCTATCTTTATCACGTTTGCCTCTGATACTTTCCAACTGTTGCCCAAAGCGCTTTTCAGAGAACTTTTATGATGTCCCTTGTACGAAGAGATCTCCTTTCGTCTTTCAAAATTCTTGCTATCATCTCTCTCATCAATCAGAGAATTTCCCTTTCTCTCAATGTAAAATATTTTGTTCTTGGCTTTCTCTCTCGGTGTTTTAGTTAACTCGTGAGCTTTAGCACTGGCTTCATTGTTTTCTGATTTCGTCATGAAATTTTTCACCGACTCCGGACCACCTCTACCAGTTAACCATCCAAAATTTACTTTGCACCCCAAAATGACAGCAACATGTTCTTCACCGAGCTTTCTTTGAAAGATCCAAGCATAATGTTCTGTCTCATCACGAGAGCAATTAATCCGATACAGCAACCAGATGCAAATAGCTAAGAGTAACGCATACTGAAAGCCACGCTTAACCTTAACCTTTAATCCTCTTGGTCTTTGGTTTTGTCCCGGGAGACGATAATTCATCACAGCTGCAACCCTCCTTTTAAATTTTGGTTCCTTGAATACAAAAGTAAACGGTGAGTGTCCAACCTAGGATAATACAAACTCTGTATCAAGTGATTTCTCACAGGTACCTCGCACTGAAAATAAATTGAAGAAGTCATACTCATACTGATAAGAATCAAGGGATGTTATACGCCAAACAGTTTCTTCGAATTTCATGCCTCAAAAAAAACCAAAAATTCCCATCAAGAGAATAGAAAACTTTCTAATTTATTTTCCAACTAAATCGTAATCTTCTCCTTGTCCCTTCTCATAGCATAACAAAAGGGTAATCCCAAAGCAAGAGGAAAGTATCAAACTTAATGTTTCACCTTACACCAAAAGTAATACAGAATCGGCAGGCAGGATCCAATAAGCACTCTAAGAAAATGCAAAGAACCTTAGTTCAAGCCTCTCCGACACCATTTGTGAAAACTGTAATAGTGTTGAGCATTTGGTGAAGAAATGAATCCGGACCAGACATAAAGGAAGAGTTAAAGACTAAATTTAATAAATAAATGAGTTTCCTCTCAAACAACTCGAACTTTTAGACAAATCGATTCAACGAAAGACGAATGAATTTGCTAAAGCAAAAAAATGGTGAAAACCTTCTTAATCCCAAGCTTTCAAGTATTTAGATATGCTAAAGCAGCAAATTATAATCCTTTCATAAACTAACACGAATAACATCACTAAATTCCAAACTTCAAACCATATTGCTCTCATGATGTCAAAAATTTAAAAATTCCAATCCCATCTGATTATAAGTAATAATAACACAAAATTCCCATCCACTGCATATTCTATCAATCAATAACAGGAAAAGATTATGAAAGCAGAATTAGATCAATGGATCAAATAATTTGGCTCCTTTAATTTCAAACACAACCAAACAAAAGAAACACTGAAAACCCAAATCTGTTTCACTCATTTCATTACCTTTTTAGCAACTCAAGACCATAATCAAAGCCAAATAATTCTCGATCATAATTCGCAACATATATCATATCAAATTCACTTAATCAAATAAATGAGCAAAAAAAAAATCGGAATTTAAAAAGCGGGTATAAAAATGAAAAGGACCGATAGTATACCTTGGAATTTCCACGGTTGAATAATTATGAGCTCCTACAAAGAATTTTCTGCAAATGTTTAAGTCTGAAATTTCGAAAGAGACGGTTGAAAAAAGGAAAAACGGAGGTTTTTTTATTTGCATTTCCGAAAGTACCCCTGTAAGAGATATTTGGACTTTGATAATGTAAGTGGTTTAAATTTTTTTGTGGGTCAATCATCAATGTGCTCTTGTCAACTACCCCACATTTTAATTACACTAAATATCCTTAAACTTTTCTTATTTTTGCACTTGTGTTCTCAACTTATTTATTTATTTTTTTTTTTTTACCATTGATCCGATATTAAATTTCTCATCTTGTCTATAGTGACAATTTTCGTCCAAAATATCTATTATGATAGCCAAAAAAAATATTTGTCTCTCGTATTTTTAAATAACCGGAATATATAACTAATACAAAAGTTAAACAAAATATTTACTCGACTTTTCAACAGAATATTTGGATGAAAATCGTGATTAAAGACAAAATATGTTAATTAATTGTAGGTTAAGAATGACAATGCAATGAGGAAAAAATTGGGGAGATAAAAGCAAAAGTAAGCAAAATCTTTCTTGTAATTAAAATGTGGTGCAAATATAAAAAGATTGTTGTGCGAATATAATTTTTTTTTTTTTAATTCTATTAGTTTAGGCCGCCAAATTAGACTATTTTGTTTGGCACGAATTTCATCACCGAAACGTCGTCGTAGAAATCACTTGATACAGAGGTAAGAAATCAATGTGGAGTGCACACATAATTTATCTTTCTGACCTTTTTGGTTTGAAAAAGGTGAGAAATACTATTTTTTTGGTTGGTTATTGTTTTTTTTAAATAAAAAAAAGAAAATTGCTATTATATAATGAAACCCGAACAGCAACTGACGGTTCCGATTTCAATTAAGTTCCAAAATTACACAAAATTGGATGATTCCATTTATAAAATATCAAAAGTTTAATCGACAATTTCGATTTTTGAAGTAACCAGATCGATCGACTCAATGCCAATCTCTAATAACAACCCATGTCACCTTCCTCAAATTAACCACCCCAAAATCTCAAATCTGAAACCCACTGCCGCCCAAATCCAAAATCTAACACCCGCAATTTATTACCTGATATGATTTAGGATAGGCAATCAGTTAGTCGAGTTTTTGAGTCCAAATTGAAGAAATTGACAAGTCAAGGTTCAAATTTTATGAAGGGCTCGGGAGCCGAAACGAGTTG